AATTACCCTGTACTTTTAGCAGTATCTGAGATCTCTTTTATAAGAAAAATCGATCAGACAAATTATAGTGACGGCGAGTCCAGGACATCAGAGTGAAAATTCTTCATGACATCCTAATAATATCATTTTGTTATTACTTATTACCAGAGAAGAGAATGTGTTAGATTATTTCAAGTTTGACATTCACTGGTATCGTCCTTTTCTTAAAGATGAAGAATATTACTAGAACAACTATTTCTGTCTGCGTTGCTGAGATATTGATAAATGACTTAATGTGCGTTGAGTTCTCTCCTTGCCGATGTGATTGGCTAACGACTCGTATTGAAATCATCGATTTTGACAGCTAGGTTCATTCTTGTTGTTCGTGTGACATGTACGGAGAAAAAATCTTATATGACTCAAAAAAATTCTCAAACACAAATTACTATTATGCGTTTTTATTGAAATTAATGCCTAATAGGCCTATTAATACATCACAAATGAGTTTTAGTAAATAACAAATATTAGAATTAAAATACTCCTTTCAAATGATACAGACATACGGAAACAGAAGTACTGTACAACATACAGAAACTCTTATAAAAGCGACTCTGGGAAAAACGAAAGTAAAGATAGATCAGGAATAGAAGAGTCTTCACTATCTCCAAAAAACAACAAACATTTTTGGATTGCCGAAATATGAGGAATAAAACGTTTTGACCGATAAGTACATTTAATAGAAAGCGATTTACTAAGCCACTGTTCACGAAAGCCGTTGAGAGAAAAACGTTCATAAAGAAGAGTATCGTCAATAGATTTAGACAACGCTGTTAAATATCGTTTCCAATATTCATGGCAACGATTCTCGAGAGAAATTTCTTGAAAAAGAGAAGAAAAAAGAAAATTGTTCCAATATATTACACCAAATAATCGTTTTAAACAAACAAAATAAAAGTGTAATAAATCCGCTTGTTGATATTCGGTTAATAAAGGGAAGATAATAAAAAGCCATGTAAAAAATGGTAATACATACACAGAAAATAAAATTCTTCTTAACTGAGGACTCGAGGAACCACTTATACGGCATGACTTCGCGATAGCAATCCGTTGTCTAATTTTTATTTTAAAAACACTAATCATCTTTCCCTACCCAAGTTTGCATGAGATGTAGTATCCCAAATATTTTTAAACCATTTTATCCAATTTATCATGTTTTCTCCACAAGTAATTTGAAAACTTGGACCACCAATCGCTCGAGCACTCCACAATGCTTCAGTTTTAAAATAATTTATAGGTTGTACAGTCAAGGCAGAATAAAATTCCAGATAATCGAATAGTTTTTTCAAACGAGCTTCCAGATCGAGACACTGTTGAGAATATTTCTTCCCTATTCTACCGCTTAAGACACACGGAAGGTCGTCTGCAAAAAGGTTCGGAAGAGAAACTTCTAAGAAAGTCCACATATCGCAATTATAGGTAACGAAGAGAGTCAGAGTAAAACATGAATCTCGGGGACCACCTCTTTGAATCATAAATATCCTCGATCTTTTACCATTAATTTCGACATAACAATTTCTATTTTTTAGCCAAGCAGCTATCCATAAAACATAAGCTTTGGGAATACCTAATCTAAAGAGTTTTCCGAGACAATCTGTCCACCATACTTGATCAAATGCTTGCTTGAAATCAATAAATACTGTGGCTACTGGTGAACTATTACTCATAAGAGAAGAAATTTGCTCTATAAGAAGAAGAACTCCAGAAGAAGAACTAGAAAATTAGATCTAAACCCAGATTGTGAATCGTGTACAGTGTTTTAATAGGAATTTTAAGCAAAGTGGATTTCCACAGTTTACCACTGCATTTTCCATGTTTTCCCTGCTAAAAACAAAGTGGAAATCGAATTTTCGAAGTGGAAACCACTAATCATTAAAAACACTGATCGTGTAGAATACTTCTGCGATTTAAAACCTGCTAAAAATGATCTAAAAAAAGCCTCTGCAGCACTTTCAAAAAGATATCAAGAAGGGAAATAGGGTCTTGTATCAGAAACGGTTTCTTTTTTTGCTAACAATTTCATACGCACTTTTTTCCAATAAGATGGACCGACAAAAGAAGACAAAGAAAGATTAAAAATTTGAAGTAATCCTACCCAAAACTGTATTGCGATAAATTGAAACATAAACGTTAAAAGCCTATGACTATCACATGCTCGACTATTTTTTCGTTGTTTTTTCCTTGATTCCCTTATAAAATGGTTGTCTGTGTGTGTGTGCTCAAAATACGGAAAAATGACCGTCAGATATTCTATGGATAAGCCAATCATAAGCGAGAAACATAAAAATTTCTTTTTAACCACGAGAGAGAATATATTCAAAGAAATGATCTGAAATATCTACTGATGCATAAAGACAAAAAGCTAAGCAAACGTCTTCTGTAGGCCGTGGATAGATGTCGCCAGATAGCAGTCAACTGTGATAATGCAGAGAAAGTCGGCTACGGATAACAAAACTTACAGTGTGTAGAGGATCTATCATAGCGAATCGATCAAAAAGAGGGCTGCGCGATTACAATTACAAAATGTAAAGTTCATACATTGCTATTATCTGTAGAATTAAGAATTCTAGAATTCTGAACTTTACATACATGTAAAGTTGCTTATTCACACTCATCCTCACCTTCACCCCTAGAATTCGGAATTTTAGAAAATTCTGAACAAGTAAAGTTCAACTTTACATACATGTAAAGTTCATAATTCTAGAATTCTTAATTCTACAGGTAATAGCAATGTTTGAACTTTACATTTTGTAATTGTAATCGCGCACGTCTGATCAAAAATAGTTCCAATCTCCTTAGGATTCGTAGAGAGTGTCCAGAAAACCTTTTAGCTTTATTTACATCATACGGTTTTTCCGTGGAAGCAGAGAAGTTCATAGCGTTTCTCAGCTATAGTGGCTGCGAATGCCGACCGAAGGGAGGCGTGAGCATTGCTTTGAGTTCAGAAATATGTTTAGTCGTCTGGGATTGTTTGTCTTTTACATTTATATTAGATTACGAACCCTACACATGAAAACAGAAAAACATCAAGAAGATGGCTTAGTTAGGCCCCAGCGAGCGTCGACCGAAGGGAGGCGTGAGCATTGTCTTCGATTTAAAAGTCACGAAAGGGCGTTCAGTAGCGCAGATCCAGGTTATTAAAGTCAAGGGATCGAGCGAGTGGAGACGAGCGTTTCCTTGTGTCCTTTTACCTCCAAATAATAGCTCCAAAAAATGGCCGCCTCGAAAAGAAAAAAAACATTATATGGAACGAATAACAGTTACATCATTGAATGGAATTTTAGTGAATGAGTGTGGCCTTGGATAGATGTCGCTTAGAATCAGGCTGAAAATAAAGTGTTGAGTAATTTATTATTTTATAGAAGAATTAAGTCTTTAAAAATGTTTTGTGTGATTCTATTGATGAATATGAAACGTTTATCGTGAACAAAAGAAAAGAAATAGTCGGTACTGTAATCAAGAAGTTACAAAACAACGATCATTTAACGTTATTTTGAAATTTCAAGTCGCATAAAAGAATGAACATAATATAAAACACATTTCATTCTGTATGAAAGGTAAGTATAATAATACTAGTACCGTTTATCTCTGTGATTTTTAATGACTATGAAATCATAGTATTGTTTGAGTTAATCTGCATAGAGCTGTGTTTCTAGGAGTCTTTTCTTGGAAAGTAATATAAAAACTAAGAGTAAAAATATTTTCATCGAACGTGTTAAATAAGAAAAAAAATGAACAAACATTCAAGGTACATATTAAGAATGCGACTTGATTTTATTTTGATCTACCCTGTTGAATGTGGGAAAATCGAGTACCTATTGGGTACAGTGCTACGGTAATGTCATAGGTAATTGGCTTCCGCAATAGGAATGAATCGTTTTTTTTTCGTATTTTTCAAAAATTCATAATAAATGGTTTGTATTTTCGTAAAAACGAGTTGCAACATTTTTTTAAAACGGAAGTTTTGTAAACAAAACATTTCTCTACAAGACAGTATACAAAAGCTGTTTTAGAAGCTTTTTGTTTCCTTTTAGAAAGCGTTTTCCTCAAACCGGCGGTCGGTTAAAAACCGCGGTTATAACCGACAGTTTTAACCGACCGTAGGTTTGAGAAAAACGCTTTCTAAAAGGAAACAAAAAGCTTTAAAATTAACTACTATATACCATCTTATAGAGAAATGTTTTCTCTACAAAACTGCCGTTTTAAAAAAATGTTGCAACTCTTTTTTACGAAAATACAAACCATTTATTATGAATTTTTGAAAAATACGAAAAAAAAACCCGATGCACTCCTGTTCCGCAAGCAAAACTATTTAAGTACCTTCTAGGTAATTTTTAATTTCCTCTGCTAACCTCAGCCAAGTATTAAGATAACTGACAGGTAATTTTAAGTACCCATCCAAGTAATGTCGTAGGTACTTAGACATATTTGGCTTGCGGCAGCTAAAGTTCTTAGATATCCAAATTCAAGTACATTCACTAGAGTAGTTTTTGTACTTCTCTCTGATTTTAGAGTTCAAGAATCTATATTCAACAATTCATTCTGTAACAAATATTGCAGGAAACTCATTAGTGTCTTATAAGGAGGGCTGCAAATAACGGGAGGGTGTGGAAGAGTGCGTAGCCTTCGAATAATTGAAAAAACTGTTGTTATCTTATCAATTATTCCTCGCACAAAATATGTAGATTCATTCTACTTTTATAGATTCAGTTTTTAATGGAGATCACGAATCTGCTATTATTTTTGTCAAAACATGTACTAGAAGAATGAAAATCGTAAAACACCAGCGCGTTTAACTATAGGGTTCCAGAGATTTTCATAATTCAATAGCCAGTAATCGTTGTATGGACTATCGATCATACTCATAAATTCTCATAAGAGCACCGTTGTTTCAATTTGATTTTAAATTTTATAAAGTGTTAGGTAGATAGACAAAGCTTTCAAAACTGGAAAAAATGTAAAGTTTAATTTGTTGATGGTAGAAATATCCCGTGTTCTTCAACCATGTTAGTTGAGACTGAACGAGGTTCTGCATCTGTTTTCGATGTTAGAGTTACAAACATATCGGCAATTAAGTCACCTACAATAACATGCCCGTATTGAAGTTCCAGTAATCGAAAAATCAAAACGCCATCACGGCAACAACAGTCATAGACAAAATGATTAATGTTTTCTAGTATATCGGGGTTGTAAAGATTGACTAATGCATCATTTGTACAAATTTTTAATCTTTGTGAAATATATTTATGGCGTTTGTATGGATTGAGTCGGTATAAATAATAAAAAATCGAAACGGAAACTAACCATATCCAAATTATTAAAAATAATAATGAATTTAACTCATTAATGGATAATACGCATTGGATAGTACTATTTAGAACACCGGCTAGTAAATAAAAAGACGTAAGTAGAGGCTTGTGCGATAGTTTAAGACTGGTGCAAAATTTTTACTAAAGCAATGTACACAGTTTATTTTAACTAAAGGTATATTACTTACTGCTGAAGTCATATCATCTGAAGTTTTATTACAACTCAGAGTAAAGACTAAATTAAGAGTTTTGCAACATTTTTCAATGCAATTTAAACAGTATGAAATGAACTGAATATTCGTAAGAAATGCAATCAGGAGTTATGTAGAGGCTAACAGATAAATGCAAAAGCAATTTCTTCCCTAATCTTGAGTACACAGAAACTAAACCTCAGTCATATACATATACATATATTGAACTTACCTATTCGTCTAATTTTGAAATCACACAAAACAAACCGTGGAAATTTGATTTGAAAAATGATTTAACCCAAAAATACCATACTGCAAAATTGTATCCCTCTTTCCGAAACGATAATTCTGTGCGAACGACATGTTTTTGTTTTCCATATTGAAAAGTATGATCTTTTGCAAATAACAAGGCTTTTATACAATACTGAGATAATTCATGAACCTGCAATTCACGTGTATGACCTGAAGGAAAAAAGTACAATGAAGGAAAAATTACAATAAAAAAGGAAATATTGATGCCTATAAAAAGTAACTGTTGTGTTACCAACGGTTTGGTTAATCACTGTAATTTTATCACGCATAAATGTGCCATTCAATGATGTGTTACATAATACAACATTCCAGAGGAAGTCAGGTAACATGAAAAAAACTCATGACAATGTTAATATTTTTGAACTAAAAACGACAATCCTGCCGTTAAGCATGACGAACGATAGATTTCGAATGTTTATTTTCGTACAAAAAGAGTAAAAGAGTTCGAATTTTTCGAAAACTTTTTTAAAAAAAAACGAACGGAGCAACCCAGG